TTAGTATTTGCCCTTTATAGCATCTGGCTTTATGAGAATTAAGTTCAGCAAATGCAAAAACAAACTTCTACTTTAAAAAAAAGATGATACGTATCTAAAGTTCTTGCTTTTCTCCTACAGCAGTTTAAGAACTTGGATATCCTGCAGTTTTGAATGGTTTCTTAACTCTTTCAATAATGAATAGTTTATGAAAGTAGCACTGATATCATTGGTGGACTTTTGATAAATATGTAATTTCGTCTTTTTTCCCTGGTAGTGAATGCAGGAAGAGATGTCGGGTACATATTATAAAACAGATTTGGAATTTCATGTGTCCAGAGAGCTTCACTTTCCTTAGCATCTGTTTAAAGCTTTTTTATTAGGACTTAGCTGACATCACTACAAATGGGGGAGCAGGGGAGGCAAAAATAGCTTTGCTTAGAATGGGGGTCAAATTTTGCTAATACTCTAAAATTACTCTCCAAAAATCACACACATGTTCATGAGATTTCAAGCTGTACCATTTAAGAATGATATTTCTCTTTTCCATCAGAGATACAGTCATTATTCTACTATTGAGTCTGGGATACATGAGACAGCATTATGGTAGTTAAATGGACTTTTCAAGCACTAACAAAAAGTAAACTCTTCTTCAGGGGTTGGCACAGTCGTTAAGTGATAACGGCTGCTGAGAAAAGGTCAGCTGTTCAAATCCACCAGCCACTCTTGGAAACCCCATTTAGCAGTTCTACTCTGACCTCTAGGGTCGCTGTGGGTCAGTATTGACTCAACAGCAACAGGTTTATTTTACAGGGGGGGCTTTTAAGTATCTAATTTTCCTGCTTGGGCACTAAGATCGTTTGCTTTTTTTAAAAGTGTTTAAAAGATCTTGAAACGTTTGACCTTGACTGAGGTATTTGCAAGGCTATGGCTGCAGTATTCCTGATTTCCATGCATATATAGAAATATTTTTAAATGACGTACCAAAATCCAAAGATTTAAGAAACACATTTGAGGCACTCTGAATCAGGGCTTCAAACCTGTTTTTTCCAGTTGGAACCTCTGCTGAGAATTTGCATTTCTACCAAGTTCTCAGGAAGTTATACCTAAGAGTCACCTGAGGATCTTGTTAAAAATGTAGATTCTGATTCAGTATATCTGGGGTGGAAATGCAAGTTCTCAGCAGGAAACTTGTTAGAAATTCAAATTCTTAGCAGGGTTCAAACTGGACCAAACTGCTTCAAAGCCCTGCTCTGAATATGCCTTCTTGTTAATTAGAAATATCTTCAAGACTTGCGTGTTTGCTGGTAATTATGACTTGAGTAAACTTACAGGATCTGAATCAGTTCTTTTTTACTCATCTAATTAGAAGGAAATAATTGCAAATATATGCTTGGAGGTAAAACACAACTTTTTATTACCAAAAAGGTTTCTGTACATGGTTGTGACAATGTTGTATCTGTTTAGAAAATGGACTTTACCAAAGCAAATAAAGATAGTTTCTCAGATAACCAAAACTGAAAATATTTTCATGTTTCAGTAATCAAGATATAAAATACAATTAAAGCTAACTATTTTACATTAAAATTTTGGCTGTGTATGTTTTTAGAAGGAAAATGCTGGGGATTGAAATTGTCAGTGATAATCTGTTTTATTTTTTTCTCGAACCATTAACCATGCAACGGATATAATAATGGAATTGTGAACAAATTTATGTCCAGAAAAAGTCACTCTATCCCATAGTCTATTAAAGCAACACATTTTATGACATTTTTCTTATCATTTTCCTTTATCTTGAAAATTTTGCCATATATTCAAAATTCCATATAAGTCTTCAAAGACAAAAAATTGTCCTCAGGGGCTAACGTAAGCAAATATTTTTAATTTCACAATATATTATTGTTTATTCTGCAATGATTTATCTAAGGTGGCAGTAAGTGCCAATGATGTGTTATTTAGGAATTATAAACTAGGCCAAATAAGGAGCAGGAAGAGAAAAGCATCACCTTCTTACCTAAGGATCAACAATTCTCAGGTACAACTTTGAAGGAAAGGTTTTTCTTTCCTATAGACCTGAATGTACTATGCTTTTTCAGACGGGATAGTGAGTAAATAGATGGCACCCTCAATTTAGGATTATCTGAAGGGGTTCTATAAAAGGATTTTTTACAACGATGTGGGCAGGGTATATGGGAACCACAAGTACAGCTGGGACTCTAAAGAGCCAGGCTCCCACAGCGGTACCTAGTCCTGTGGGGATGAGAAAGAAGCAGTAACCATAACCCAGAGAAGGAGAGAGAAGGCTGTGAGCAGAAAAGAGCCCCTTCTCAGGGGCTGAGACCTTCGGTGGGGGCCAGCCTGTGCACCCTACAAGGGAACCAGGGGAATAAATATTCCCCATCTGCTCCCTCCATCCTCACCCTGCCCCCCAGCTCCAGTCTCCTTCTGGGACTCCCCATTTGACCACGAAGCCTAATGGCTTGGCCCATAAGTCAGTCCTTGACATGGAGCAGGAAGAGAAGGGAGGAAAGTAGATCCGGAGGGGCCAACAGGAGAGTTCTAGCACAGGCACGTTCTATCTTAGTCATGGATCCAGGTGTTCATTGTTCAGTATTGCTCATTATTCAAAGTCTCCCAAGGAGATTAATGAAACTGCTTATGGAAAAACACTTTGTTGAATGAGGGTGTAGTTGGAGACTGCTGGGCTTAAGTATAAAATACAAAATATGGTGGATAAGGTACTTTTCTCCTCTGTAGTAGGGAGTCCACCACTTGGGTGTACGAACACGTCAAGGCAACACCTGTAGACAAACACATGGTAGCAATAACCCACTGATGAAAAAACGAACAGCAGAACTTTTCACAGGAACAGTCAAATGAATAGGAGTTGAAGGAAAAGGAAGTATCTCCCGCTGGAGCCAAAACCATCTCTAGTTTGGAAATGTTCACATTCAACAAAATTTGGGTGATTATAGCAGGAACCTGGTAATGAATGAACGATTACAGCCCAAGGTTTTCATTCTGTAACCACATTCTAATTTTATCAAAATTCTTATCCATCCAACGTATGTTTTCCTCAATGATTTCAATTGTTTGTTGGACACAACGGAGCTGAGAACCATTGTCTTTCAAAGAGCTGAAGAATCCTTTCACCTGTAAGGAAAAAAAAAAATGGGGTTTTTATAAATTCACCCTATTACATTAAGCAAATATAAATAACTTCGGGCTAGTTAGAAGAAAACTGAGGCCAAAATTCCAGCATTAGTCAAAATTTCATATAGAAGGCAGCCCCAGGTGTCTGATATGATTATGTACACATAAACTTAAGCTAAATGAAATGAGCTCATGCCTCATGATGTCAAGTTTTGTGTTTTATTATTTTCCCTGCAAATCCTATTTATTCACAGTTGCCAGACTCTCAAAAACGTTACTGTTTACCATCTTTATAATTTAAGTTTAATTGAGTGTGTCTGGTTAATGTGTATTCTGTTATATACACATAGATGCAAACTTAATTTTTGTAAACACAGTATCTGAAAAGCAGAATGTGGAGAGTATCTTCTTTGCCAAGCAAAACAGTTCCAACCACGTAAGTGCAGCCTTTCTCTGTGGGCCTGGCCTTGTATCTTATAGAAACAGGTGGGGTTCTTAGCAAGTTAATGGTGGTAAGACCCCAAACCTTGCCAATTTTTTTTATCCTAATCCACAGTTCATGTATTGTTCCCTCAAGAGAGACTCCACATAAAGTTTCCCATGATTTTAAAGACATAAGATCATTGACTATCTCCTCAAAAATACCTCTGTGCTTGCTTCATCCCTGGGTACCTTAACCCCTTATGCTCACATGAGGAATAGGCTGGCTTTGGAGCAGCACTGACCATGGTGTGACTCAATTAAAGGGTTCTCAAACTTTTCCCATAAATTCCTATTATCCATCAATTTTTTATTTTCTAGACAGGAAGTGACAGTAGGCCAAGATGTATTATTTATTCAGCAGGGATTCCAGACAACTAATTCCTTAAAAGTCCATGTCATGATACTGTGGAATAAAAGGGGTTAGGAATAGGCTTTTGAGGGATCAAATTCCAATCTTAAACGATGCAGGGTTGTTTTCAAATGTTTTCTGGGTACAAGTTTTCAAAGGGATGAAGGCATGCCCTCCTTCTATAGCAACTAGAAAACACCTACCCTCCTTCACTGCCCTGCCTTATGCTGTAGCTCAACCTCTTATTTCATACTTTCAGAACTCAAGATTGATTCACATTCAGTTAAAAATCACCTTGGGCACTCTTCAGCAGTCAAATATCAATAACTATTAATTGGTCATATTGTTTAATTAATCCTGGAGCAGCTCATCATGATAGCACCACTGAAAAACAGACCTTCTACAAGAGCTGTAACAAAGCACCTGTTGGCCCTTGCCCTCACACTTCTTCTGCCCCAAAGTTGTCTCTTCCATCTTCTTCTGCCCTGATAATGCAGCATCTCAACTCAGTATTTGATTCAAACCTGCCTCCTGGAGGACATTTTCTGGGCAGTAAGCAGCATGATACACTGATAGAAAAGCAAGTTTATCCTACTAACTTGTTTGACCCTGAGCAAATAATTTAACTTCTCTGGGCCTCAGTTTCCTTGCTTGTAAAATGAGGATCATCCCTACATTGCAGAGTGTGTTATGAGGATGAAGTTAGGGAATGTGGGCAAAGTGTAGAACCCAAACCCCAGGCCTGGATCAGGGACTCAGCCTCCTCCATTAATCCACAGATATTTACTCTGGCACCTGTTCATCCCTCT